TTTCTATATCTGGTCTCCTGAACTAGTTTAGAACACCCTTGAGGATGAAGACAGAAGTCCTTTTTTTGACTCTCCATTTTAAATGATAATATGTAAACCTAAAAATAACTCAATGAAAATTATCGATACACATAACATTGATTATATTAATAAATCATAACATATTTCCAGAATAGTCTTTTTTTCAGTATCTGTCAGAGCCCTTCAGCAGCATTGGATGACCTTTGGGGATTTAGATAGGTCATTTCACTTCTCTGGGATCTAATTTCTTATCCACAAAGTGGGAGGATTAAGCAAGACTGTAAGATCGCTTCTTTGTGTACTCATCTATCATGTTTTGAATGCTATGGAAGTTCAGAACATAAATGTTTGCAAGAACCTCGTTCTTCTTCTTAGCTTGACTTGGCTCTGAGATGTAAGCTTAGCTTAGAGGTATGGTCAGGTAGCTCTTGGCACCCAGCTACTGAAGGCATGAGGCTGACTGTCACAGGGACTGTAGCTGGGTGACAACAGCATGTTCTTCCATCTCACCCCCCCCATGAACCTCCTACCCCCACACTCAACACACACACACACACACACACACACACACACACACACACAAACACTCATGCTTGCAAGTCTTTTAAGAGATGCTGCTTAGGGCTACCCTTTGTTCTGTTCAGGTGAGAAGCTTAGAGGTAGAAAGCTTATTATCTCAACTCCACATAGTTAAGTTGGGCCTTGATTATAAAATTGTTTTCAAAATTTGTAATAGCTTTATAAGAGTAATGACTTTTGATGAAAAAATAATGATATCTATCTTTGGAAGTACCCCACAACTTAATAAAGATGTAGGGCATGTAATCTTTACCCAAGTTGACCAATCTAAACCCTGTAGCTGAATAAGTACTCTGTATGAAATGTGGGGATTATTGTTTAGCACTCCTCTGTTTTTCTCATAATTTGTATAATTATAATCTGTTCTAAAACTATCTTCTATGAAGTGGAAATATAATATTAATATATACACTTCGCCAAAAGATATGAATTTGATACAAAGCTCCTTAATAATTTCTAGTGCATCAAATGAATCAGTATTTATCTGAAAAGGTTGAAGGTTTTCAAATTAAAAGTGTTGTATGAAAAGATATAATAACTCAGTAATTCTAGAAGAGGGTTGTACATAACATCCTTATACCCAAAGAAAGTCAACAACAATGAAGTCCAGCAAAATTTATTTGTAAGACATTGTAAAATATTATTTTGAAGCAACGTTACCTTTTATGAGAAAAACTATGGGCAGCATTCTGAAATTTGGAATCAGATAACCCTGAGCTTTAAATCCTGGCTCAACATCTTGCTGGATAGGTGTCTGTAACCAAAATACTTCTCTATTAATTTTCTTCTTTGTAAAATAAAGTTTATAACATTACTTTGCAATATTACTGAGGATAAGATAGAATAATATATACAAAGTGCCTACCACAGAGTAGGTATTGAAGAAAGGGTAGCTATCATTAATAGGATCATATTTATGTTATAGAATGAAAGCATCATTTTCGTTTCATTCAACTGGAGTGCACTTATTTTTTTACAAAGCACCTTACTTATATTGATTATGCATGGGTTGGAAACTCCATGAGTAGGAATGAGTTAAAATGATTTTTTCTTTTAATTAAAAAGAAATCAATAACATTGTGGGGATGTTTAATTTCTTCCAAAGGGAACATGAGACAATCAATAGCATTTCTTGATATGAGTGTTGCCCAAAATTGAAGTCAAAGCCAGACCTAACACAACGCATCAGACAGGGCTCAGGTCAAAAAAAGCTTCCTGCTTTATTGGAAATGGTCTAATTTCCATTAGAAATTAATTAGAAATATCTAGGGTTAGACACCCAGCCATATCCATGCACTGTGTAGGTGAGTAAGGCTTGCCTGAGGGAGTAAGTGAATCCCCAGGGGCATTTTTATCTCTTCTACCAAGTCCCAGTTATTTTATTTTTCAGTGTAAGTCTCAGCACAGGGGTAGTAACAGTAATGGAAGCAAAAGGTCCATTGCTCTTTTTTATTTAACCAACATCATTATTACTAATTACTACTAAATTAACTATCTTTGTTCTTAACTCTGTTTTAGCCATCAATTATCCCCATTTGACCCTACTTGATAGAATTGTACTGTTTAATAGCGCTGACATGAACATGGACTGAGAACAACAAAGTGAATAATAGATAGACTAGATAAATACAAAAAACAAAGTGAATAACTAGTAAATAAACACAGGGTAGCAAAAAAGCCAATCAATAATGAATAGTGATTTAGGACAATGACAAGAAAACTGAACCTAAAAACAAAGATTTAAGAGTTCTCATCTCAGCTATCCCTCTAATGACCTAAGTGACCCTGGGTAAGTCACCTTTCTGGACATCAGGACCTTTGAGCCTGCTCTCACTCTAATATGGGGAGGTGCTCATGTTACAGAATCTGACATTCACTGGTGGCCCCTTTGGCTTCTATTAACTGTATTTTACCTTTAAAATATTTTTCATATCAGCTAACCCCATATTCATATGTAACTGGAGAAGGCTTCCCTCTTTCCCTGTTTCCTTAACAAGAGCCAGAATATTCTAATTTTTGAATAATTCCTTGATTTTAGATGTTTTTATTGCTGTTAAATTACAGCGATTCATGGGAATGGGTACATTTTAAAATAATTAAACATTTACATTTCAGTGAAATTGCAGAGGGGAAAAGCAGCAAACTTTATCTTCTAGTTCCTCTAATCCCTGTGGTAGACTACCAACTGTCTCTCAATGCCTATTTTTCCCTTTTGTAACAGAATTCCTGATTTTCAGCTAGGCACATGCTGTCCCAAAATAAGAACCACATTCCCCAGCCTCCCTTGCAACTAGGTATGATCATAAGATTAACTTCATGGCACTGTAATATAAGAGCACTGGTGTGCTTAAAGGGATGAGGGAATGCCCTATTCCATCAATTGTTCCTTCTTGTGGCCTAGCATGTGGTTGTAAGAACAGAGTTCCAGCAGTCATTTGGTGACCTTAAAAGTGAAACTCATACATGGTGACCTGATTTCAAGCCAAGCTAAAGCATTCTTATTCTGACTTTAGGGAGATACTGTATTTCCCCATATATAAGACGCACCCTTTTCAAAAAATTTGGGGTCTAAAAACTGGGTGCATCTTATACAGTGGTTGTAGATTTTTTTACTTGCATTTCCTGCAAGTGATGAGCAGTTGTATGAATTTTATGGTGAATAAAACTTGAGCTCAATAACTTTATGTAATACATTTGTTTCAAATTTGAGCCCCCAAATTAAGGTGTGTGTTATACATGGGAGTGTTTTATACATGGAGAAATATGGTAATTAGCTCCAGCCCACATTTGTTTGTTTAGTTGATCCCTGACTAGCTTTTCTTGCTCCCTCCACCCACTTAATTATCCAAAAAATGTATGAGAAATAGGACAGAACTAAGTTCTCAAAAACTTTTGCAACTCTAACAGTTTTCTTTTTTTTTTACATGTCAATTTTCATGGGTTCTTCCACAAATAAGAGACATACTGTAAAACTAAGGAGGCATATGTCATTTTAATAAAATGTCAAAAAAGGATGGGCTTCTCAAAGAATAGTAAATTTGTAACAGTTTAACATTTGTAATATTTAAATATGTTCTGTGATAGCAGACTGAATTCTGAGGATTTCAGAAGGTGATATTGGTACAAAAATTACAGGGAATTCTTCTAAAGAAAGACAACTCTTACAAAGCTGTGCAATTTTTTATTACTAAATGTCAAATAATTATATACATTTAAGTGTCAGTATGATTTTTGGTACTTTTCCTGGAAAAAATTATAAAGAGATGCACCTTTACATAGATCTTTAAAAAAATAGCAGAAGTCTTATTTCTAATAAGCTGCTACCATGAAGCATATTGATACTGGAGTAGTGTTTACCTTTTAATTTTATGTGTTATTAGCTATTTTTAATGCAACCACTCTAATCATCACATAACCTCAAGTATGAGCGGGGCATTTTAAAATGTATTTTCTGAGTAGTTATGAAAAATATTTATCTAAGTGATATTGTATTACATTCTCACTGATTGCAAATTAGAAGACAGATATTGAATTTCTTAAAACTGAAACAAAAACAAAACAAAATCCTAAAATTAACTGGATGTAATAGGTTCTCAATACATTGTTGTTACATTAGTGAGTCAATCCATTAAATTGTTAAGGATTGTATCTTTGAAAAACTCTTATTTTAAATATAAATTCTTTTAAGGCAGTGCTTCCTGAACTATGGCAAAGAACCACTTGCATCAAAATTGTAGTGTTTTTAAAAATGCTAATTCCCAGAAGCCTCATCATATCTAGTGAATCAGAGTCTCTATGCGTGCCTTGAGGATATTTATTTTAAACACCCCCATGATAAAAATCAATAAAAGACACTACTTAAATTACAAATAAAAAACACTCCCCTGAGATTTTTCAAGCATATTCAAGTTTCAGAACCTCTGTTCTACTGCCTTGTCTAATGCAATGAAGTTTCAAGCTGATCCAAGTTATGTCTTTGTGCCAGTATGAAGTTCATCCCTTTTCCACTCTACCTCCAGTAAAAATCTCTTTGACCTCTTTGCCAAAGGCAGGATCATTACTGGACAGATTAACGTTTACTCTTAAGGGGAGAGGAATGTCTGTAAATAGGTACAGAGAACATGGGTAGTCACACGTATTAGTCAACTGAGGGAAAAAGATAAGTGTAATAAAAGTACAGTTTCGAGATTCCAAAACCATTTTTGAACTAGTCTGAGAGGAGAACGATTGTAATATAAGGAATGACTCTGTGTTAAAGAAAGGACAGGATAACTTAATAGAGGTCTCCTATCTTATTCTGTGACGGTGCTTCTGGGCTCCGGTGATGAATGTGTTCATTTTATGTGACTTGCTTTGGGTAAATAACCCAGTGCCCTATCAGCTCTCTGGCCCAAGACCAGCAGCGGTTTGTGTGCGCGCTAATGACGGTAGAAGGTGCCTGGGGGAGGGTCTGGGAGGGGCTGCCCAGCGTGATCGCGCCCCTGGCACTTCCTAAGAGATTCTCAGCTCTTTCTCTGCAGCTGCCACTTGAAGACTCCAAGCTTTCCTTCCAGAGGAAAGAAGCCATCTATCTAAATCAGCTGTGCGCTCCACGTTCCTCGTCTCCCGCTACGCCAGCCGCCACCTCCACCCCTTCCATTGTGTTGTGCGTTTAGCTCGGCTTCCTGCGTAAGACCCTAACCTCATTTGTAGGAGAGATTACTGAGAATTTTGGAACCTCGACTTGCAATGGAGCTGTACGGAAAGGTAAGCAGAAGGGAGTTCCTCTGTATGCTCTGCATGGAAACCTCGCATTGAGGACTTTGTGGGGTGTGTGTGTGTGTGTGTGTGTGTGTGTGTGTGTGTGTGTGTGTGTGTTCTTAATGCAGTGTGCGAGCAAGACACTTTATGTGTGTGCTATTCATTGTTTTTCTACGCCGTGTTTGTTGAATGAAATTGTAAAACCACCCCACTCTGCCTATGAAGATGTATAAACTTTCCCGATTTGGGATGGGGAGGGGGCGGAGAGTCCCAGAACCAAGCGCAGGTTTCGTTTGTGTTGGTATTTAGCAGAAGGTAAAGCGTATCTTAACCGGGGAATCACAATCTAGTTTCGGAAGGCGATAGGTAGAAAAAAAAAATCTCCAGCTGAGAAGAGCTGAGGTCACTTTTCCGTGCACCTTGCCAGAAAATGGGCTGAGAGGCTGATAGCAGTAACAACCAGAAACGACTCCAAAGGAGAAGGGAGGCTCCGCGGCCGAGTCCGACTGGAGGAGGCAGGCAGTTTAAAGGCTGGCTTGCAGGGAGTTGTAGTTTAAGACTCGCGGATTTGTAGGAAAGCTCTGGTTGGATCAGACTACAACTCCCAGGAGCGCGCGCGGCTCCCGGCCAGTACGCGTGTGCGGCGCCAGGAGGGGACAGCTCCGGTGCTGATATTGGAACCGGTTAGCGAAACCTAAGAGTGCAGAGTGTGGAGCGTGGAGCGCGCGGGCGGTGCACGCTTGACCGGGCCCCGGGGCCAGCGCTGTCTTAGCCAGAGAGAAAGGACATTTTGAGAACAATGAGACACGAAGCTCCCATGCAGGTGGGTCTGTGCAGAAAGTGTGGATGAAAGCCGAGAGATGCTTTCATCCTTGGTCCAAGCACAAACTGTTTCGGATCTAAGGGAAGGTCCAGGGGGCTACTCACGAAGATGAGACTTTGACTTGGTCCTGGGGATGGAGTTGGGTTCCTCTCAGCTTCGTGGGGCTGTCATTGGGGCTGTCTGGATGAGGGATAGGAGTATTTAATATCTTTCCATGTTCCACAAAGGAGGATTGAGAGTGCCTCTCTAAAACGTTAGCCTGAACAAACAAGTCAGAGGAACATGCAATCTCGAGAGTATTGGCATTGATCTTCCCTCCTGGTTTCCCTGGTTTGCGATAGCGGTGCAAAGCACGGACTTAAGGCCAGGTTCCGGGTTTTGAGTTGTCTACTGGAGTCGGGATATAACGAATCCTCTTATTTCAGAGCGCGTTATGAAAAAGGAGAAGTCAATGTTAGGGGTCCTCAGAGTCCCCTTTCTTCAATTAGGGCCCTAATAGTATCAGCGGAAAATAGCAAACACGATGGGGCTTGACCCATCCTAGAGTTATGCCAGCTCTTTATCGCTGTTCGCACAACTGGTTTACTACTGCATCTCCGAGACCCCTCTCTGAGCTTTCCTAAGTGATGTGCCCATTTGTTGTACGTTGCGATTCTGCATTACAATCACATTCTTAGGTTTGCTTCCTTCGAGTCCGGTACCTCTGCCTAAGCACCTTGATGAAGTTTTGTTTTTAAGTAAAGATAGATGAGTGATGATGCTTTCTCGTTTATGTACAACCGGTGAACGCTAAACCTCAGCCTGTGTTTCATTAACCAATAACAGTGATCCCGTTGCGTAACAGTAAGGCACTTTATGAATGGGGTTGAGAGGAGAATGGAACACACCGTTTGGAACGCGTTCTCTCTTGAGAACCCGTCCCTGTTGCCAAATCCAACAATATAAATATTTGACTTTAATTATTGCTTAAACGTTTTCTATCGATTTTTTCATGAATCAAGGACTCTAAACATATGCATCTATTTACTTTTAATCTATTTTATGGGTTATGTATATTAAGATATACACTGACTGGACTGTTATATGAAAAAAAAATCTGTAGAACATAATTGTTTGTTGAAGGATTAGATAATGGAAGCCCTCAAATTACCTTATGAGTTATTTAAAATTTGATTTGTTCCAGAGAACAGTGGCCCCATTGTGTGTATTCTAATACCCCTGTTTGTGACTTAGCTTTTCATTACAGACCTGATGTGAAAAGAATCTGGATAGACAATAAAGGTACAGGCTGTTGCAATCAAGATATATTGGCTTGTGATAATTTTCCATTACTGGAGGTACTGCCAGGAGTCAACTGACTAAATTAATCATATTTGATTATAAGTAAACACTGACCATAGACTCTAAAAGTAGATTGTTAATATTTAAGTCAACCCCATATGTGCACTGAAGTCTTTCTGTCAAAATAAATTACTAAAAAATTAACCACACTGCATCTTCATTTTTATTTTCATACAAGAGTTGCTTGGAATGTTAAGAAGGGTCATTAAAATGTTACAGAACTGTATGAAATTATTACCTTAGGAAAATTTTAAATTATTTTATATTAACTAGATAGTAGGAACTGTAATTCCCTATTTTAGTCAGAACTTTATGGGAGAATTAATATAAAAATAGATAATACAATTAATTTGCTTATGGATGGAGTTATTTTAATACTTATTGTGTACTTTATTCTCTGGACTAGATTTTTAATTTTTTTTTAGTTTTTATATTTATTTATTTAATTTTCTTTAAAAAATCAGTTAAAGGTGTACAAAACAACATAATACAAGTTGTACATTTCACCCCTCATAAAGCGATAATCTCCTCTCCCCAATCTATTGCCCCTCTGATATCGTACATATCTTGGACTAGATTTTTGAAATTTAAAAATTTAAATGCCCAAATGCTATCATGGATAACATGTGCATTTTAAGAGATCAAATATTTAATTAAAGCATATTCATTCATTCAGTTTAACAAGTAAATGGTTGTTACGATGACCCTCTTTATTATCATCAGATTTTCAAACATATAAAATGGTAGAAGAATTAAAACTGTAAACATGCTTTATATATTTTTTTAAGTGGCAAGTGATGTCTCAGCTCCCATCCTTCTGAATCATAATAACATTCCAGGTGAATTTGATAAAAGAAAATGCAACAAGATGAATAGTTGACACTTCCTTTTTTTTTCCAATTTAAAAAACTGAAATACATCATCATTTTAAATAATAGCCCCAGAATTTTACTTAAGTTTTTGGAAAATGAGTGACAAACAAAACCTCATTCTATAGTTGCATTATCTAAAGAGATTCTTTCCCCATTAAAAATATTTAGTTCATTTGTTGATGTGAAATAAAACAAGCTCTCTAACTATTGATTTCCTAATTTACTTGTATATTTTATTAAGTCAAGGAAGTCTTTTTAAAAACAATATAATGTCTTTTGAAAAGCATTTGATGTGGTGTTCTGTTCCAGATAGTTGTCTTTGATATATGTATATTTTCTGAAGGATATGGCTCTCTGAGTTGATACAAAATGAGGGATAATTGATTTTTATAGTGACTATTAAAATAATATACCACGATAGTCTTTGATATATGTATTTTCTTTGTAACTCAATAACTAGGGATAGCATTTGGTAAGTGTTCCAAATGATGGGTTAGAATTTTAATGCAGGAGATGGTCATTTTACGTTTTCTCATTCAGTGCATCTGTAAATCCTGAGAGCCAAATGAAATGGGGAATAGCGCTGCTCATGACTTGAGGGAAAGACTCTGATGAACAAACTGTCATTTGATTCAGCAGCCAGACTGAACAAATTCCACTGTATCTAGTGCTTTGTCTGTGCCGAGCACTGTGCCTTGCATTTAGATATGTGTGTGTGTGTGTGTGTGTGTGTGTGTGTGTGTGTGTGTGTGTGTGTAAAATATAAAATGGTCCTAGAGGTCTACATTTCTAATTACAGGCAAGGTAACTGGAGCTTGTTAAGATTAAATACCATATTTTGCCATGTATAATACATACTTTTTTGCCCAAATTTGTGAGGGAAAAATAAGGATGTGTATTATACATGGGTAGTACTAATTCCGTATCTGTATAAATGTTTTTAGTTCTTTTATTTATGCTTATCAGTTAAAACTCTAGATTGATGAATAACGATCGATATCCACATGCAAAATGATACCCTGGAATATGACCATCGTTTTGTTGAACTTATGTCGAACTTGCAACAACGAAGAGGTCTTGGCCTTCTATGATGCGTAAATAGCGTATATTTGTTACAGGTACATAAAATTTCTTGTACCTTGTAACTGTTCTTGTGTTTTCTAATTATTTGTTACATAAATTTTTTTGTACCATAATATGTTAAAAAAATAAATGCTTAAATTCCTTTATAATACAAAAAACAAGTACCTAAATATAACCAAATAAAAATTTGAATTAAAAAATTAAAACAAAAGATTTTTTTCCCTGAAAGTTTGGGCCAAAAACTTGGGTGCACGTTATACACAGCAAAATACGGTAACTTTCTCAAGATTTTGCCAGGTGTCTGTCTAGAAAGCCCATGTTCTTTCCTCTATTCTTTGGGGTTCCTCAAGAAGACAGAAAGGGTGGTGTAAAGAATGAGACCACTATTGATATAAATTGATTCATTCATCTGGTTCAGAAGGAAAAAAATAATGTCTCTGCCTTCTGTTTATAAAACAAACTTGTGTGAATTAACCCAAATATTAGAGAAGGGCCAGTGTTTTAAAGATGGCTTGCTTTGTGTCTCTTGGACTGGAATTGTTTTGCAGGTTTACTCTCTTGCAGGACCAAAGTGGAATCCATTGCCTCTGATTAAATGCTTAATCATCAGTTTTGTTATCCACAGTTTTTGGGTCATCTCATAAATGCAGAGCTTTATGACTATTTGGGAAACTTAACAAAACAAAACAAAAAACATCTACCCAATGTATGGAGCAGAGTGCCAAAAACCCAAAAAAGGTTGTTTGGCTAAAAATGAGGAGAATTGAAGAAAGAATATAGATGCTGAAGATAAAGTTGAGTTGAAAACCATAATTAATGTTAAATACAGCCATGCTGTACGAGTATACAAGAACAATTTACAAAGAAGTCAAGTCTAAATATCATTG